CATATCGGCTCGTCGTCGAAATAGATAAACAGTAATTCATATTCTTATAGCACGGCTGGTGTGTGTTGAGTAGAGCCACTTGAATTTTTTTTTAATGTAGTTTTTAATTTCACCGCCGACTCGCCGCTCCACGCGATACATCTTAACGATAATAAATGTTTGACAACGTTATGCCATTTAAAAACAGAAAATCAGAGTATAATATAATATACTCTATACAAGTTCTTACTTGTTTGAATTACTTTATGCGATTGGGCGCGTTGTGTTCGTGTAAGCAAACAACAAGAAAAGAAACGATAGGGTCGTCGAACAAGGAGTAAAAATGTTGGCAAACAAAAGTTTTTCTATGAACTATAAATTACTGTAAGACACGATCAACAACAACTGTTGAATGATGATGTTCTCCGAGGCAACATGTGTGATGGGCGACGCTTTGTCAAACTAAAACTTTCCTCGGAATCTTTCTTCGAAACACACGAGCTGTACACGTCTTGTGTAAAATACATTTATTCACTTTTTACATGTATATTATAATGTTAAACAACAGCGAATCGATAGATTAAAATTCTACACCGAAATATATAACGCGCTTTGAAATTGTTTAATTTGTGATAATTGTGTTTGTATTTTTTGTCGGTTTAGCTTAATAATTGTTGGCCGTTAAATCCGCGTAGGACGTAATAAAAGTAAATAATAGACGATTTCCAGTACAAAACTCGACGGTAATAATGTTAATATTATAATGTGTACCGCGAGCAAGACGGGAAGTACTTTTAAAACTCTTTATTGTTAATTACGAAATTAATCCTATTGTTCAGCGAAAGCTCAAGTTAAGCGGGGGTTTTTTTTTTTGTTAGCGACTTGCCATTTGTTTTTGTGTTGATTTCAAGACACCGCTAATTGCTATACAAGAATATTTGTCGTTTAATCTGCTCACCAGACAAAGGTCTAGTAATAATAATAATCAAAATCGTACTAAATGATTTCCCTTGCCGGGTAACGCTCAACTACATAATATTATCTGTGTTTTCTTGTCTTTCGTAAAGTCATTTTCAATGGGAATCCGTGTTTTACACCGTGTGTACAAATACAAACACCCACAAACTTGTATTTACCACTATTGGCGATCGGTATCCTACGTCAACAAGGGAATCGTCCAGAGAGATACACGTAGGTATCTACACACGTGTGGAGGGAATATATTATTATGTTTGACGAGGAAAGAGGGTGAGATGAAAAAAAAAAAAAAGGACGGCAAACGGCAGGAGAAGAAGTACACACAGTATCCTTCTCCTCCGCAACCGTATCGCCGTCGTCGTACGCGGTTTTTGTGCGTTATAACGTCGTCCCATCCCCCCAACCACTGCGGCCGTCCACGTCTGTTTCCCGTTGATGCATCTCTCTCCCTCTATCCCGGCCGTTCCCTCTCCGGCTCCGGCCTTTCCTCCGGGGACGCGCGGGCGGCTATTGATTATTTCAAGAGGTCAGCCGCTTGTCCAGGAAAACTCCGACATTCGCTCGCACGCCGCCCCTCGTCCGCAGAGGGTCCGACAGCCTCGGCGGCTAAACAATGCGACACCGCAGACACGGTACACACCCACCTTTCACCGCCAGTGCCCCGTGTCTCCCGGCACAGCCCCGCCGTTCCCTGGACGTGCACGGTCCATCCCAGTTGGCACCCCCGCCCGTGCCGCGGCGGCAACCCTCGGCAGCATATCTTTTGTGTCCGGAATCCCAACGCCACCGCCGTCATCACTTCCGTTGCATTTCCTCTTCCTTTCCACAACACTATATGTTAAACATACACACGTACGCACGTCGTACAAGGTGTACAGCAACATCTATACATCGATCGCAGACCGCTCGGCATTAGCCCCGGATACACATGCGTTCCCATTAAGCGGCCCTTCCCCGTCTTGTGAGTGCGGACCGTTTACCAGTGCAGTGTAAACCCCTCAATCATATTTCAATGCGAATAAAAACGATTTGACGTTTACATAGATTCTGGATTCGCTGGAACCGATTTAGTCCATTGACCGATTATCTAGAACTCTAGTTCCTTCCAATAATCATTAACCTATCGATTATAGTAGCTCAATGTATAATAGCTGTTTACATTATTAACAGCCCGTGTTCGGTTTACGGCTAGCTAATGATTTTCAGACCAATCGTGTCGTGTTAAAGGCACAGTATGGCTGTTGTAACAATTTAATCGAAAACTAAACAAGTCGATGTATCTGTAAATAGTGTATAACTACTCAACATGATGACAATTATAAACAATAAACTTCTTTATCTACTATTACAGCTGCTAAATACAAAAGTAATCATAACAGCGAACTCGTTTTTGTTAAGGCGAGCGAATAGTGCTTGGACGTGGACATTGGATACATCTGTAAATTAATGTAAATAACATTTTAATGTATATGATGAAAATTATGTTAACCGACATTAGAGTGAATTAAAAGATATAGTGATCAGATGTAGCAGCTGATATACTCATATTGTGGATTTAAATTATTAAATAAAACTCATGTAACTCATATTTTAGGTAAATACATTGTAAATTCATGACCTTACTAATACACAGACATATTATATATGGAATTGATGTTTTTATCTATAACATGAATTACACGACAAAATACGACACTCGTCAGTTGTATTACTATTTAATATAATTAAAGATTGGGAAAATTACTCGCAAAGGCTGTAAAAGCACCCTAAGTGCTACGGGGAGATGTATAATAATAACAATGATTATGATGATGATAATATTATTATTGTTGGGTATTAATAATTCTTAACGACTAGGTACGGTAACTGTGCGAACAAACTCTCTATGGGTTTTATTATTATTATATCAATGGTAGTAATAATATAAGGATTCAAAATATTTGTCAGTGGTTCGAGTAAGAGCTATTAGTGTGTGATAATAGCCAGCATATATTAAAACTTATCCGACTCTAATATACTGTCATGTCTGTAACTCAAGAATGGCAAATAACGCGTTAATAAATTAAAAGTTAATTAAGTTACATAACTGAACAGTTGAGCCCACTTTAACTATTATAACCTTGTTAATAATGATTCAATTTAATTTAACTAATTTCAGTTCACCAACAATATTGTGGTTATTATAGTTCACTAAATAATAATATTGTATATTGTAAAATTAAGTTTATTATTGTTAATAACTCTAGGTTGGTTTTATTTTTACAAAATATCAAAACTGTTTTTGTATGCGTTGATGATGGTAAAATTGCTATAGAGAATTATATTTGTGGTCAAGGGTTTATTTAAATATTTAATTATTTCATAATATATAAGCACAAGCGTTGCTCGAGTTTTTCCTGGATTATATTTATCAGTTAAAAAAACGTTTTCAAACAAGAGACACTGTAGGATTTTCTGTGTATGCTAAACATTATTTTTGTGCAAACTGATATCCAAAAGGGAATGTGCGGATTTTTATAATATAAACCGTTCGACAATATTATCCAAATCGTGTCCGTCGACCGTTTGCCGGAGAGTCATTACTCGAAATGGGGTGAGGAAAAAATACACTGATCTTGTTCGATGAGGTATTGTGTCGGTTGTCAAACGGTTAGTAACAGAAGACAAGAAGGGTGAACGGCGGCAGCGTCATTAAAAATTAAAATTCGGCGTGCTCAGCGGGGTGCGCGGCGGTGGCGGCAGGCAGGGTGAGAACTTCACAGATTAACCCCTTGTCGTTTATGGGTCGCAGTATCTGTGCGCATAATGAGTTGCCTACTGCGTGCCCCTGAAAACAATAACAATGCCGATACTCGCGAAATCAATCGCTTCGGTATTTGCATACTAATAAATAATTATTGTCGACAATATTCCTTCGGAACGACTCCTTTTTTCCACACCCTCTCTGCGATTCACGATTGCTTACATTTTTTTTTTGTTTCGGTTTCCTTCTACGATCAGGCGGTGCATTTTTTACACATTTTTCTTCCACGCAGTTTCCTATATAACACATCCTCTTTCCGGCGACCGTCTCCGAGTCACGTTAGAACAAACGCTCTCCGCCGACGGTGAAGCGGACTCCACGTATGGCATTTTTTTGCGTACCTACCTGTCTAGGTCATATTATTAAAACGCTGAAGGCCAAACGGGCGCACGTGTGGTGCTGCCGGGAAAAATTCCTTTTATTTACACGGGAAAAAGTGGTATAAATGTGTACAAAAAAAAAAAATTTAATAATAAATAAATAAAAGACAATACCGGCGAGACCGTGTATATAGTGAAATATAATATCACCAGAGTTTTCATAAACCCTTGTTAAGGAGAAGAATTCCGTCATTTTCGTCGACGTCTCTGAGAAAAATGACAAATAATATTTATACATACATATATATATACATACCATCCTGTTTTGTAATAATAAAAGTAAAGAGCGGGACCCGGATAGGAGTGGGGCTCCCTTATAGTGTCTTTGTGGCCACGCAAGCTTGAATATTGCGAACCGACCACCGGCAGACGGGAATACGGGGGGTACTCATCAAAGGTACACCTACACCTACTCTTCGGTCGTGTAATATTATATTGTATGTATGAATATGTATATAGAGTGTAATGAGAATAAAAATACGTTTGAAAGGCACGATTTTTAAGGGTTGCCCGGTGTCTAGAGATAGGATACAAGAGCCGAGCGTTTCCTTTGCGCGTTTTGTATAGGCTACGGTATTTTTTAACAAAAAAAAAAAAAATCAAAATTAAACCACTGTAATAATAATGAATTAATAAATATATTTTTTTTCTACACTATATAACTGCATAACTATCACTGTCGTCGTAAAAAACTTATATTTTCTGAATAATACAAAATATTAGGAATTGATGATGCTAAAAAGTTACATAAATACAACTTTTTGAGCTGTCATTAATACTCGATTTGGTTTTAATACATTTTGTATTTTTTTAAATTTCTTAAAACGTTCATGATCATTTATTATTGTTTGTTTTTTCAGGTACCTAATGCAACCAGAAGACTTACAAAACACAGTAATACACTGGCAACAACAAATTTCAGATACCAATTCAATAAAAATCTAGGGAATATCAAATAGATCTCACCGGTAACCATATTAATAATAATTTATTTTGAAACTTGTTTGGTTACTATAGTCGCCTTGTAATGTCTTAGACTGTGATAATACTTACAATTAAATAGTCAAAAAATGTACATTGTATTTTTGCACAGGAAATCACTAATTGTTGCCAGGTTGGCCGTGAACTAAGTATTAATAGAGAAATCGTATTATTACACTATATTGCAAAGTCGAGAAAATAATTTGTAAGCAGACCGAAGACATTTAAGTTCATTTTTAATACATTTTCGAAAAACGTATCAATGCCCCTCCCCCCATTTACACTCTGGATTTAAAACACGGGATTATCATATAGATTTAATAAAATATCTATACGCTATTACATTATATTTTTGTTCAATACACTCATCGCATGCGTGCATATAGGTATACATATATTATAATGTCATATCTCATATCTAAAAGGAAGGGAAAAAACTTTGGCCGGAGAGTGCCGGAGGAGCAAGAGCAATTTCTCGAGCTGAGCAAGGATGCGTGTGAAGAATGCAGCCGTCGGTGGTTGGTGGTGTGTATGTAGAGCTGTGGAGGTGATCTTTAGCGAAAAACGCGGACGGGACGAAATCTATGATCGATGGTGGGGTAGAGTGGAGGGTAGGGGAAGTCTGTGAACCGTATAATGCGTCTTATGTGTGTCGTGTGTGGGAGGAGTAAGCAGCAGACAGCTGGTCGGCCTGTGCGAATGCCCAGTATTCCAGAGAAGCTCATATTTCAAATCCGGAGGGTAAAAAAAATAAAATGTATAATATATAATAGACGTCGCCCAGCCCACCCGCCACCGAAATAAGAAAATATATATATATATACAATATTAGTATCGTACACGAAATAAATGTAGCTATTTTCCTTAGGCCACTTCCCCTCCCCATCACCGGTCACCAGATATATATATATATATTATAATATGTATTGTCATCTCGTCGTCGTCGTCACGAGCTTGTATTTTTTTTTTCCACCCCTCCTTTCGTTCGGAAACACATTTCCTTGCCGCGAAACGTCATGACGCAGCAGCGTAGCACCCCGGCCGCATACGTGTACAATGGGTTGCATATCTATACGGATATACGGCAACGAATAACATAAATATATATGTATATGTAATATATGTTACATATACATTCAAACGGATAATAGTGTAGGGATGGTTTTTTACGAGCACCGAGTTGCGGACCCGGAGGGGAAGGGAGGAAAAAAAATACCCACGGACTGTTCGTTATTGCGTTATACGCTACACGGTGAATGTTAGTTGTTATACAATACAATAATATCATACACTAAACTAATAATAATAATACAAAAAAAAAAACGTGTACTTATAATACGTCTGTATTACACGGAAGCACATACCTACGGCCTGACACACAAACGAGTAACGTTGGACATGTTCCACATGAATCATACTTGGTTTTTGATAGTTGATTTTCAAGTAGCTTAATAACCGCGAAATTCTACCATATTTCTTTTTATTATAGAAAATAAAAGTTACATAAAAAGTTGTATATTCCGTAATTATTTGTATGTAACACTGCAGTCTTCGCAATTGGTTCTGGAATAAGTAAAAATAAAAACTGTATTTTCAACGTATAACCCGTGAGTGATGTTTATTCGTTTTTTTTACAATATCCCAATTTAGTTTTTATGTATGATTTTGGCGCAAGTCTTAAGTAGGTATACGTTATTCAGATCTATCACATAGTAATAAGTAATAACTAATTTCAACCGGTCATACATGTTTGCCAACCTAAATATTATGTAGCTTTGTTCGTTGGTTTTCTAATTGCATAAAGGTTGTCTATTTTTGTTAAACAGTTAATTTTGTCGCCAGTGTATTTCTAAACTTTTTATTTAAAATGCACAACGTACGGTTTACTATATTGTATTCTATTTGATAATAATTATACCTAACCCAATAAGGTTTTCAACTCAGTTGGGATGGAAATGTTCCCATTGCCGACTATGAGTAGTAAACTAAATTTGTTATGCTCCTTCAATATTGGTGGTTTCCCTATCCACAACATTCACCGCTAAGTTAATTGCGTCAACCTTAACAGTATCCACTATTATACATAGGTAATATTTAAATTTACATTTTATACGTACGCCAGATAAACGTCTATTTCCTGTTTGTTTTTAGTTGTGTGACAATATTGGTATTCAGAAAATAAATCAATAACTATTTTCATGAATGTTTCGCCTAAAATGTGACTGTGCGTACAAACTATACACGTGTACAATAATAAAATATATTATCGGTCGCTCACACGCGAGGGGATGGACATATATATAAATATGTATAGTGGTGTAGAAAACTTGCTTTTCTTGTTTTGATAATATAAATGATAGTCGCTGATGCATCTGCTGTTCATCCTTTTTGGCGCGGCAGAGAGCAGCGTTGTATTTTTTTTTTTTTTTTTTACCGAAATACACACAACACCCCGGGGTGCTATACAGCGCGCCGGTGAAAAGCTATCAATTTCCAATGCCATTTCTACTGTACCAACTATATAATACCGGTGCGGGCCAAGTGTAAAAGGGAAGAGGGGAAGAAAAAAGTGCGCAACTTTTCCTAGTGCCGATTCCTATTCGGCACACGGTAATGGCGCCCACAGACATTTGCAAAGTGTCAAACGCAACCGCCGCGGCTATTCTTCCACGCGCCGCGCTTATAATAATAATAATACATGTATGTGTATAAATGGACACGTGAGTAGATAGACGGGAAAAGGTTTGTGTGTGTGTATCAAAAGAACCGCGGCGAAGGTCTTAAAAGCATGTCTAATGCGAACTGTGCTGATTTCCACGTCTCCGCCTTCGCCGTTATCCGTCTGTCCGCCTCGAATCCGTCTCCCCCTTTGAAGAAAACACTTACTCGGATTGAACGGCGTATCGATAAATCACGGGTCGCAGTTCATATATAATAATTATTCCGTCCGCGCCAAACGCCTGCGAGGTATTGTCTGTACACAACAAGCCCCGACGATAATTATTATTTTTTGCAACCCCAAACGCTTAGAAGCAGTCAGCGACAAACAACAAAAGTACTTTTTGCGTTGCAAAAAAAAAAAAAAAATCATCTAAAACCCCAAAAAAGTTGTGGCCGGCTGACTAATGTGGAAAATAGTGAACTGTTTTATAGTTTTTATTATTATATTAATTATTATTATATTTATTTGATATACTATAATAATAGGCAAGCTACCTTTTAAGCGCGCAGTAATTGAAGGATCAAACGGGTAATTTAGTTATTTATAAGTTTAGAACTAGGTATTTGGAACGAAAATTTAATCAGCGTTGTGCTTAACAAAACTCGGCAGGTATTTTAGCCGAGTTGATGGGCTCTGCGTGGTGTATCGAGGAGAGACGATTTAACTCATTAGGCTTTTGTGTAGGTTAAGCCACCGGGTATTAAAGGCTTTATTGCGTTTTAGAATTTATCCACTTTAAGATGTGCCGTAGAACGATAATCATTTTGAAAATACATCAAATCAATTTGGCTAGACAAACGCGTTAAATTATCATCAACGTGACAAATATAACACAATCTATCTCATGTAAATTAACATTGACCGATCGACTATTCCAGTTGCGTTTGCAACAAGAATAACTTTTACACTTCTCAAACAGCTAGTAAAAACTATTTATGGTAAACAAGTATCTGTAAAAAATGGCCGTGGTAGATATTTCAAATATTATTTTGGTATTAGGTTGTCGCCCGCATAATGTGTGATATTTATCCAATCCTTTTTTACCGTTGTCATAACCAGCTGTCGGCGACCGCTATGTTTAATTGTACCGCGTATACAATATAACAACTATACTATAGTGGATACGGCTATAAGGCGCTGTGTTGGGCTGACGTCTATAAACAGCTTTTGACGACGACGCAGCGCCTTCTTATTGTTTGCATTATTAGCGTTGTCGTGTTGACCCCAGAATAATAGTTCCAATTGCGGCGGTGGCAGCGGTGACCGCGGGAAGGACTCGTGATTAATTCACGGACAAAGGACGCAAACGGGGGGGGGGGGGCGAAGGCGGTAAGTCACGTCAGTCAGAGAGCAAGCGGTAACTGGCCTTTACAAAGTTTTGGCCTTTGGCCGCGCGTACCCTTTTGCCGCCGATGCAAAAGCCATTCCGGTCGACGTGATTTCTGCGTACCCGCGTCAAAGGCAAAACGCCCCGTCCTCGTCCGTCCGGCCGTGGCGAGGACTTAGGGTGACCTTTTAAAGTCGCCGCCCCCCCCCCCCCGCGCGCGCGTCCAGGCGACACGACGGCGTGTAGGGCTCTCGCTGGAAATCGGTTCGCCATCAATCATCGCCCGGGCCGTTTTGCAAAACTGTCACATACTCGCATTACCATTTACCTACTTCTAAATCCAAAGGCGCACCGCCGCCAAGGCAAGATCACTGGGGTCGCGCCCGGAATACGAATGGCCTACTACACCGTGTTGTCGTTGCGAGGCCGTCCGACCGACCGGCCGGCCGACCTAAGTTCTTGTGCATAATAACCGTTCTGTTGCCGGCAGCCGTGTTATAGTACCTACACAATTTAACGATATTGTCATGGCCAGACAATAAACGGTTTTTGCAGATTTTCGCATACAGGGTCACGAACGGCACAATCGGTTTTATCGACAAATCCGTGTGTGGTCGGGATATAATATAGTGGGAACGAGTATAATATATGATATATTGAGAGGTCGCGAGTCTCTAGGAATATTATTGAAACTCAAAGAGCTTCAGTGCTAAATTGTGGACGATACCAGCGCTTTACGATATCAATATATTTTTTAGACGACATGACAATGGTCTATTGAATAATTTTAACTGAAAAGTGCGTGTAATATTCTAAAATCCAACACAAATATTTGCAGAATAAAAAAAGAACTACAAAATGTATTTTACTTAAAAAAACATTACTTGTATTAAGAGTTGATTACCCTCTATAGATGAAACCAAATATGATGTATCCACAAAAATGTCAATAAGTAAGTACCAATAATAATTAACAGTATACATTTGTTTTTTAAAGAAAGTTTTGTCTATAGATTTTTGAAAGAATTGACATTATTGGGTTACACGTGTACTTGGATCTACCTACAGTGTCCGGAGTATAACAATCTGTGTGTTAACAAAATATAATTCATTACTTGTCATAGAGCATACTACTACAAATTAATCAGATATTTAGTTAATAAATAATATCGATTGCTTGTAATTTTTTTTTTCGTACTTTGTTTAACCTGTTATGCGATACCGCGTGTAGATTCAGTAGTAAAAACATTTAACCGAAACAATTATGTTACATGTTTTACTTGCCATATACTCATAAGATTACCGTATACGGATGCATACAATTATACTTATTTGTACATATTTTTCGTCTGGTGCTTCGCAGTGTTTTGAAGCGTAAACGAGCCGTCGGCGAATGTGGAAAATAACGAGCTGCATAATACCCAGGTACAGCGGTGAATGTTAAAAGTAGGAGGAAACAAGTTACTCGACATCATCATTGTTATATTTTTGCAGTGAACCAACGTCCGATCGAGTAAATCAATATCCGCTTGTATATATATATTATTATAATATAAAATGTACGTCTCACGACAATAATGACAATATATAAATATATATATATACAATATAATACCATGTGTATACCTATACAATATACATTACCCGGCAGCATCGTTTTTGGTGTATCATGTCACAAAGGCGAGCGAACACGGCAAGACGGTGCAATAATGATGCTACGACGAGGGGCGAACATAAAGAGGAGAGACGACTCTAATATAGGAACATGCCATGGGAAATAATTGATTTGAGTCGGCTATAAATGAGCTGCTGAGGTATATCTATCTATCCGCACAGCTGAAAGGCTGGCATTAAATCACACACAACAGCAAAGATACACACCAGATCAAGAACAAACAGTTTTTGATTTACTTTAGAAATTTTCAATTTCGGACATTCGAATTCGGACAAGTCGGCTACAAGACTCGCGTACAATGAAGATGTTATTCGTCTTGCACTGATTTACTGTCTGATAAGACATAATATTATAACCATTGTCCGATTGTCGGTTCTATGAGTAGGCTTATACCGCAAGCATATACAACACATCTTGTTATACCTTATAACTTTAATAAGTCAAATCCTGATTATTAACGGCTTCATCTCAACTGTGATTATGATAATAATATGTGTTTAACCGAACACCTGTGGTCACCCTATTTGTACAGTATAGTACATCAATCTTCCCGGTCGCATCCGAACCGGTCCTCTCGCGCTAAACGTGACCCGCTTGACCGCCATGACATCACTAGCACAGATCAGGTGTCATCAGCATCCGCGACCTCTGAGGGGTTAACTACGGTAACGGAGGGTCGACCGTCTACACAGGTGTTATGTTGAATGAAAAATAAATAACGTATAATATATAGTATACAGTTAGGGTTTGTTGATATATTAGAGTTAAATGTATCATAGCCATGTAACTTCTACCCTTTCATGCTACAATATCTTTTTATAGAAGATAACAGTTGAGTTTTCTATTTGTTTGTATAATATGACACTGTAGCTGTTGAGAGGACGCTTAATAAGACCATTATTGTCACCACACTCAACTTATGTTGTTACCAATTATTGCAAGGAATGGGGACTAGGGGGAAGCTATTCTAGCTTTGAGAACGATTGCAGAAAGAAGACTAAATATGAACAGGAGTACATATATAGGGTTCATCGATCTAGAGAAAACATTCGACGCCGTAAATTGGAACTTATTGATGACCACCTTAAAAAGAACTGGCCTGGATTGGAAGGACGGAAGAACTATTATGGAACTATACAAAAACCAAGAAACAATAACTAGAATAGGAGACTGTATATCAACAGTCATAGAATCCGTAGAGGAGTGAGACAAGGCTGTTGTTTGTCACCCTACTTATTCAATATACTCAAGAAGTTGTTCAAGAACTCAAAGTAAAAGCTAAAGATGTAAAAATAAATGGAAAGATAATCCATTGTATCGGATTTTCTAATGACATTGCCATGGTAACAGAGACAGCGAAAAACATGCAACAATCTCTGGCTACATTTAATGAAATATTAAAACAATACCTTATGAAGATCAATACAAAGAAAACAAAAGTCATGGTAGTAAGTAAAGAGAGCAGAGTCCCCATCGTTAACATACAATTAGATAACAAAACATTTGAAAAGGTACAACAGTATAAATATTTAGCAAGTACACTAACCAGTGACAAATATAGCCATGGCAAAAAGAGCCTTTACGCAAAAAAGACCGTTACTCATGAACAAAAATCTTAAGACCAGAAAAAACTTTGCCAAAAGCTACGTATGGGGGATTTTTTTGTATGGTTGTGAAACCTGGACCCTAACAGTACAAGATAAAAATTGAAACAATGAAAATGTGAACCTGGGGAAGATTACTTAGTTGGACTGAAAGGAAGAGCAATGCAGAAATTATCCAAATAGTAGAGGATAAGAGAATATTGCTATCCATCATTAGATCAAGAAGTAGAACATTTATAGGACACTTAATAAGACATGACCTCTTCATAACCAACATAATGGAAGGGAGAATCAATAGACGCAACGGAAGAGGAAGACCGAGGAAGACATTCATAGGAGAGATATTTGAAATGGCTGGATCCAACGAGTATTCGCATATGAAGACACTCTGGCATTAAAGAGAGAAGAGTGGAAGTCTTTTTTTTCGCTATGACAAGGCCTTTAGAAAAGAAGAAGAAACTATTAAGAAATAACAAAATGGGAAAAAATGTATTTTCATTAATGTCCTAGCTTTGATTAAATCCTTCTGGCCCACGCTATACAGTATGACAGATTACCGACTCCTTTCTGTTCCAAAGACATATTTGAGTAAACTTATAAATAATTGTTTAATTATACGATATAGCTAATAAACAAAATTGAATAAAAAGTGCAACATCCGATACATATTGTATTTTGTGTCTTAAAATCAATATAAAAAATACAAAAATGCTTATAGTTTGTGACTATATATGGTAGTGACAACGACTGAATGTGGTTACAGTAAATTTTGGTGATTTCTAGTTACCTTCTAGAGCGAAGTTGAAAAATTGTGTTTTGGACTTGTGGCCATACCTGATATATTGTACATTAAAATCAAATAGCCATTGCCAATTTTGCAGCGTACACTATTATTATAACGGGTTGGTACAACAGCTAATACTACTTGTACAGCAGCTACAGAGCTAATACACGCGGCGTGTGTGATTAAAACTTCAAAAACAATACCCGTTTTGGGGCTAAACCAGGCGAAAAGTTTTACCCGCCGGTGGCCGCGAACCGGCCGATGATTTATGCTTCCCCGGAGAATGCGATCCGGCAGGGTAGGCGTGAACGGAAACCGAACGCGGTTGGTCGTTTTCGGCCCTTGATAAGGGACCTCGCCGTTGTTTTCACTCTGTATGTAGTATGTACCCACCATATATATATATATATACATATATATATTACTTATTCGAGTACCCGGTTGCCCCGTGTATCGCCGCCGGATTACACAACACGACTGTGCACTGTGTATGTATACCTACCTAAACACTGTGCATAGCATATTATAACGACCTTCTTCCTCGCAAAACAGCGACGCACTTATCTCTGGTCCGATGCCGAGTGTGTAAGACCCCGGCCGTTCTCCTAGATTATACATACGCATGCACACACGCACTATAGCCCTTGGTCCCCTCGAGAGTCCTCCTCTAATTACACGGTAGTAGATAGGCGTTATTATAACAATATTAGGTATATTGGTCTATAATGTGCTCGTGGATTAGAATGTAATTAAAACGACAAGCGGCGCAACGTCCAAAACCCCCAAAAAAAATGTTTTAAAAAAACCGCAGCAACCCTGGCTCTGCTGATCAGATTATATCGGTTCTAACCGTGGCGCGTTTTCCACTCTATAGAATGATAAATAGGTAATATTGTTTTTCATCAGTTCTACCATAACAGTGCCAGTAATTAGCTGATCGTAATTAGAAGTATTAGCTTCAACAGTGATACTCAATAATGTAATATATACATTATACACACTTAAAAACATGTTTTTGGTTTTTGTTTCAGGAACAAAACTACATAAGTCTCTAAGCCCTAAGCAGTTTGACGAGAATTGGATCAAACGCTATCAGTTATGATCAATAAAACAGCGTTTTCGATGATGAAATTTATTTAAAAGTAAGAACCCCAGTTGAGTAGTTTTGTATTTTTTTAAATATGAACTAATGTTAAACCGTCACAAATAAATGAATAACTAAACCATAAAACATTAATTATAGAAATCGCGAAGTCAGCGTTAGCTAAATAACATATAGTTGTAAGAACGATAACTAAAACATTTTGTGTAAGCTAAAGCGTCTTGCGTTGTTTATTCTCTTATATTAGTTCAACTTAATTGATATCCAACTAATTGTGTATGACCAATTTGGATTTAATAACAAAACTCCCTATTGATAATATATATATTAATAAAACAATATGAATGTAAATAAAAATATATATTAACTCAGTTAATTATGTAAGTATAGGCCGTAAAAATGTAAAATATTTATCTGTCAAATTGTCATATTGTAATAAGATATCATTGGTACATTATACTTTATAACAATGTGTCAAATAACATTTGCGTTATTTTTATTTCTTCTTCCGTGTAAACTTTATTGGCGCGAGCATTGGCCGAAGTTTGTTCAACAAGTCAAAACACACTGTTTCAACGGGCCCGCCGCCGCAGAGCGCCAAGTTGGATCGCCTCTCAAGTTTACGCGAGAGCTTAGAAAGTATGTGGTTGATTCTGAAATCTTTGATAAGAAACTTTGGTACAAGGTTTATGCGGGCCGGTTGCCATCCCCAGCTGTAGCCGCTGCTGCCAGGACGACGTCGGTGGTTACAAAACTTCGGCCAAGTTTCTTGGAACCAGTAACTTTTCCCTCTCATCTATATTCGTTGTTTATATTTTTTTTCCACTTTAATTGTAAAAATACAATCTCCTACACAATAGTATGCAGTGTAATAATAATGCGTAGGTATCGTTATGTTTAGTCAAACGGAATCATATTGTGTGTTTTGAAAACAAAATAAATTGCAAATAATATCTCTTTTGCATCCAGTCAATCGAATAACATAAAATAACCGTAGATATTGCTATTTCAGTTTAGCATTAGGTAATATTACACGTTTGTTGAGACGATTTTATATATTATGAAACACGATCAACTCCTTATATTGTTGGGCTCGATTAATTACCTTTTGTTTTTTTATTTTAATTTCATAATGGGCTCACAAACACTCTCCGGCGTGCTTTCGCCACAGAATCGCTCAAAACAGTAATTACCACGGGGTTTGGCAAAAAATAAAAATAAATTTTAAGGCGTCAAGGCCTAATATTCAGCTGCGTGTATTTTTTTTTTTTATCCAGAGTCCGTTTTATTAATTAAACAAAGGGGAGACGATCCATAGTGATCGAGGGAGACCGTACGTCATACTCGTTTAGGAACCGACCGACGTTCACACGGCGGCCACTACGGCCAGTGTGTGTTGAAAATCTATACGTCATATTATTATTATAGTAAAATCCCTACTTATAAATTCAGATTCGCGCGTTCACTTGTACCCGTCGTCTTAAGTTCGGGCGGCGTGTGACGTGATCAAGGAGAAATTATGATAATAGATTCGGTAAACAAGAACAAATCCACTGCGCCAATGGTGCCCACGTCCCTTTCCCCGGCCGGTAATCCTTTGGTCATTAGACGGGTCGGAGTGTAGATGGGCCTCATAGTGTATGGCCAGCAGCATCAGCAGCAGCAGCAGCAGCGGTGCTTAAGTTTGCCCGGGGCTAGCGTCAGCGACATTCGCCTTGACATAACCGTCACTTTATATGCTAATTCGTCATTAATCCGCAATCTAAAGAGAGAGAGAGTAGTTTGCCGCCTCTCGTCAAAGTTCTATTACAATGCCGAATTACACACACACACACACGCGCGAGGGTTGAATTTTCTTCCAAAAACCAAAACGTCGATCGCGTCTAAAGCGCCGGTTTCAATATCACTATTATATAATCCTACATAACCAAATGTAGGTATAGTATCACTGTCCAAATGTTATAACCCACTAAATTATAGCGTTGTGTGTAGGCAGAGACGGGGAAAATGTACAGAGCCAGCGCCAGTGGGCACTTGTAAGGGTCGAGTGTTAATTGTTGTTTTTCTATAATTATTTTAACTGAAAAATGTATTATCGCCTGAGTGGACTCTGCGCTGAGGAAACCCGAAAAAACGAATCAAACACCGCGTGTGGGTATTATAGCTGATGTTATTTTTTTCGACACACAAACTATACCGGTGATAGACCGGCCATTTTGTGGATGCGTGACCGTTGGGCAGCTGCATTTGACCCCGGAAGTGCTCGGCCAACCCTCATTTCGGTACGTTGCACCGTGTGGTGGGGTCGCCCGTGTTTTCATTGACCCTTGTCCGGGGCTATGCTCGCAGAAGGGATCAACCCCCCAAAAACAGCAGCAGCTATCCGGCTGCTGACCAAAACACGAGTTGACCCCTTTTACAAATGTGTTTTCCATCAATAAAATCGCCCAACCGGTTCTCCCCGTATAACCCCGCTAATCGCCGGTCATATTTTATATTTATTGTGATACACATTAAAAACCCTCTTTTTTTCTAATCGTGAAACGTAGGAATTTTGTTTACGAAAACTATATAATAGTATAAACTAAAAAAAAAAAAACATTGTTTTAGTAATAATTTTAAAAACAAACAAACTGAAATTTCACTTGGTTTTCTTTTAGAGTATAAATATTTGTTTTATTTTCTACGTATAAATTATGATAATATAATATACAAACGGGTAACACAATAGAGTTGCCTCTTTATAAACCACAGCGATTGTTCGTTTTCATTAATTAAATTTATCTTCAGATATTATGATTTTTAGTATTTTTTATGGAATTGTATAGGAGAACGCCACTTGTTTGTATTTGTGAGTTCATGTCGTCAGCCGCTTATTATTTATTTGTACTAAAATAATTGTTTGGAAATATATATTGTTGTTATTTGCTATGATTACTAATACGGAAACTAATACATGTTGCCGATTGTATTTTCCCAAAAGTTGGAAAAAGGGACATATCAGCTTCCCGGCCATCCTTCCACAAAATCATGATTTAAGACAATTATTCAATTTGTATTAAAAAAAAAAAAAAAATTGATTCCGTTGTCACTCGGTCGGCATGGCATATTATAGTCATCTGACACCGTTAAACAACTACCTTATCCTATAGTTGTACCAAGGAAATTACCGAGGATTTTGGAAATTATGATTTACACTAATATTAGGCTGGTTCACCATTGCCGCGTTTTTTTATGCAGCGCTACAGTGTAACAGAAATAGATAATACATTAAATTATATGTGTATTGTGTAAACTAACTGTACAATAATAAAACAACGTTGACTATAAAGCCGGGTCCACACAGAGGTTTTAAAAAAATAAAACAAAAACTCATCTTCTTTCTGTTTATAAAAAAACAAAACTGTAAAAAAACATTTGTCTAGACTGAATTGACAAAAAACTTGAACAAAAATTTAAATACTATGTATGTGTTGGGTTTTTTTCATCTATCCATTTTGAAAAGATCGTTTTAAAAATGAGCTTTTTATTCTTTTATACTAGTTATCCATTCACAGTCGTTTAGTCTGCTTTCGTAGTGCGATCTTTTCGGTTCTTGGTTCGTTCGTTTTTATTTTAATAATTAAATTGTTTAAATATTAAAATATTAATGTGGAAACTGAAAAGAGGTATCGAAGATGAGGAAGATATACTAATGCTGGGTGCTGGATATATTTATTTAAATGTTCAAAATAAATAAAATTAAAATAAAAGACGTTTTTGGGAAAGACCAACGTTACAAAAACGAAATGTATATGAATCAATGAACTTTTAAAAGATTTACGGGTTAAGTCATTGGTATAATATAAACAAGTTATTAATATAACTTGTTTTTATTTTTTAACACATTAATATTTAATTACATTTAACAATTAATATTTAAACACAATTTTATGTCCACACCGAGCTACATCGTGTTTTTGTTTTGTTTTAATATTGTTCGCTCTGCGTGGACCCGGCATAAGGAATTTCACTGAAAAAACGTATCTGCATTTTTTTTTTTGTGGGCGGTGGTGCAGTAGAGCATAAAGTATATGGGGGGAGAGGGGAGTATAATTTTCATCGGATAACCAGATTGCACATAATAACATAAAGACCAGTGCGGAGATGGTGGCGCCGGGAGGGGGAGGCAGGGTCTGCGCGAGATGGGTATTCCCTGTGGACACAGTGGGCGAGTTTTGATAGCATGTGTTGACACAAGGATTGGTTTGCCAGGTATCCGCAAACATGGTACGCTTGTTTGCCCGCAGCTCTCCGGAAATTACAAAACCGAAGTCAAACAATATTATTATAGGCGCAACATCAAACCTCTTCGCCGTTGCCTCTGCTCGTGCCGGCTTAACTGCACGGACCGACAAAACAGTTTTGCGGACTCCAATTATTATTATTATTGTATTTATCATCTCGAAAATAACCCCATAACATTCTTCTTCGTGTCCGTCATCGTCGCCACTGCGATTTACATAATTGGCTCGCTCGCTGTGTACTGTGTACACACACACACACACACATACATGTGCCCGTTGTAGACAAACCCAGCTTGTAAACAAGACCACCTTCCTTAGGGGAAGTATAATGTGTTTGTTGTACTGACGTCCAAGAAAACCGGCCAAAACGGTCTGATGAACGTTTCTCCTACACAGTTTTTGTTTTGATTTTACAATTCCATAATATGTTCTAAAGTCTTTTTAATTCCTTTCTTTTTAACAGTATGTTTAAAAAACATGAAAAATAAGATTTCAATACTAATTGATACAAAATGTCTTTTTGCATTAAATTCTATAAAAATAAATTGATCGTGCCGCTGTTTACGGTTTATCAATGTTTCAAAAACTAAAAAAAATGTATTAACAATAACTCATACCGGTTATTATTTAATCTATTTCGGCTATATTATTAAATTTTAAATATATTATTGACATAATGCCCAAATTTTATAGGGTCCACAACACTTGACAGCGAAAAGTTGAAAAAAGGGACAAAACTACATGTGATTTTTCAACAGCTACAAGAATTTTACTCGAAGTCATATCAAATAGTGAGTTTTTGAATAAAGTAATTGTTTTAACTTTTAAGTTGAATTAATTAAATAGAAATTTCATTTTGTTTACATAAAACGTACAATCACTCTAACTTTAGGACTTCCGCTGTTCAAAATATTCTTCCTTTCCATTATTTTTTTATCGTTTTAATGTTTTTCCTTTAGTACATCTGAAGCTCCAGACCAGACACTACAAAATCAAATAAATTTAAATTGAATAATACTATTAAAATACAAACCGTCTTAATGAGTCTATAACCAACACAACTTTAGGTCGTTTTAGAAGTTCATTGTCCAATCATAAAATATATATTCTACAACATACCTAAGACTTATTGTTTAATGATTTATATTGTTTTATGTGATAATTGTACATCAAATGTTAAGTATTTAGTATGTAATTAAAGCAAAGTAATGTTTTTTTTATAAGTTTTTACAGAAGTGTACGAGTGTCAAGAAATCAACGTATTCTCTATTATACATTTTGTTGTCATTTTTTATTTTATTATAATTATTTCTTTTCGAAATAATTGTTTTACCATTAAATTTAGTTTGCGATTAATATATGTTGTTTATTGATATTAATTTGCATTTTGTTTGTGTGCTCTATTAACAAAAAATTAATAAATATGTCTTAAGTTTTTTTTTTATCGCAATTTCCTCAATAATTAAAAAATGAAAGTATTAACGTTAACATCAAATAAACGTTAGTCGAACATTTACTGTGATTTCGGTCGATTTTCCTCTGTTGAATATGCATTGTACAAAAGTGCTAAACGAACACCTTAATAAACTAATAACGCATAACAATCGTACAGATAGCCGTTAAACCGTTTAAAAACCGTTAGTTGCGTACTCGGGAGCATCGATTTGAATTTTTGAATAAACTATTACCATAGAGCTGCGCAAATAATTTCATCATCAACGGCGGTACCTATATTAAACCGTTTTAAACGCCAAAGGCAGCAAGCACAATATGTATTCCCTTTGGCGTCACAGCCAGCACTCGAGACACCCCGGACCGTGTTCGTGTATCTGAGAAGTATCTTAACGGCTGAATAATAATAATAATAATAATAGTGTCAACAATAGAAGTGAAGCACATTGACGAGTAACACACACACACACACATAAGCGGGCGGCGAGTGGGGGGAAAGCGACGTTAGCAACTAAAACGATTAACGGCTACCGATAGTACGATTGTAGAGGGTTAGAGCGGAGGTGACCATCAGCTATAGTAATTTTATACTGCTGTTGTACCTTATCAAACGGTTGATTGATTCGAATGAAACTTTTCGGCTGCTCTGACCGTATATAGAAACTATGCGGTACCATAGCCGCCTAAGACTTTTGTGCATAGCGTTAAACAGGGTGTGGAAGACAAGGCAAGAGCACTGCGGAGGCGGTCGGTTTTTGTACAAGTCTCTTGTGTTTATATTACTATTATTATTATATATTGTATTATAGTAGTAGTGTAGAGCTTGTATATGCGCACACACACACACACACACACCGGAATGAGACAAAGAGAAATAAACATGGCCGCCGGACGCTAACGATCCCTTAGGGTGTCTGTGGTCACCATAAATACCCGAGCGGACCCCGTCGAGGCCGGCGCGGCGGTGGTGTGTAAAGTTTCGGGTCCGAGCCGAGCGGGGAGCGTAAGGGGTAAACTTTGCCGCTGGGCGAACTGCCGCGCTCTCCCCCCCCCCCCCCACCTCCGCCGGAGTCGGCCATTTTTAATTATCTTCTACTCTTTGCTAATTTTGTTAACCCTCACACCCCCTCTCGTCCTATCTCGCACCCTCTAGCGCGCACACACACACGCATACACGGCAAACTTGCCACTTACATTATTATTATTACACCCGCGAAAGAGTGAAAATATAAAATAAAAAAAAAAAACGGTCAACCCCGACTGGCGAGAGACCTACCTTCGCGGTATGGAACTTTTATATTGAACAGCCTTTAAAAAAAAAAAAAGCGTACCACCGGACACTCGAATAATCAACGCAATATGATATTGATTTTTTATATATATATATATATATATATATATGTATAGATAGATTAATATTGTATCGAAAAATATTGAATTCACTGTAACAAAATAGCTAATTGTTATTATTATAATCATCCTTAATTGTATTTTTCCTAGCATTTTTTTTTTTTTACTTATTTTACTGAAAAAAAAACAGCAGGTTAGGTACTCATTACATTTATTATAATTACCAAAAGAAATGTCATTAGAATTAGTGATCTGTGTTTGGCGAACCAGCGCGTAAATAATATTTTTATAGTTATTATAGCCATTAAGTATATTAGAAAATAATATAGTAATAAAAGGTAAAACAAAATTGTATATACTGATTATCGGTTATACACTGAGTATACGGTTTTGACTTATCAAATCCGTATACTAAAGTTGGACAAATTATCAATTTGCGCTTTGTGCTTTCAAAAACCGAGATATAAGGTAAACAACTTCGAAAACAGTAAAGTAAACTTGCTACTCGAGCATATTAACCGCCGGTTGTATGAGATAATAATAATAATTTAATACCAGCTAAAAGAGTTTCCGGACACGTTTCCTTTAAAACATCATATTAACAATTTATTGTATTAATAATGAATATCATTATCATGTTTCAAGACATTAAAAGTACCACTTACAAAAAATCAAATATTTTTTTACTGAAAACACAATTATTATAATGTGTGTATACAAAATTATATACTATTATGTATAATTTGGGTGTCTTAGTATAATATCTTTTAACGTTACATTTTTCTAAACAATTAAATTTATATATTCTTTTTAAACTTTGTCTATTTATTTTAATTTCATTATTTTAATAATGACGTGTATATATTTCACCATTCAATAATAATTAAGTTAGATGATGACTTGAAGCTCAACATTCGCTTTACAAATATTATTACTATTATTATTAATATTATAAGTATTTTTTTTCACGCATAATGTCCTTTTAACTTCCTACCACTTGTAGCACGAGTCGGACGGTTTGTGATGGATTGGGTAGTAAGTAGTTTTACAGTATAATATTACAATATATTCGTTTAATGATCTACATAATAATTACAAACCACGACTGACGCGAGTTATTTTTCTTAATATTCTAAAGCAGTCCTAATAATTCTTGGCCTTAAACTGTGTCTGTGTGTTTGACACTACGATACGAACGAGTTGCGAAATCGTAACGACAATTGTGTATGCCGAGAAGGATATAAGCGAGCGACTAGTAGACATAGACAAATAATAGAACCGAGCCATAAAGAGCGAATAGGTAGGTTTCTTCCCTCGATCAACACATTATTATTATTATAGATCCATAATAATATATTATGCGCCTCCCGATAGGCGATACAAAATAATAATAATAATATCCTATCCACTGTACGGCGCTCTCGAGACAAATGGTTCGGGATATCGGGGAATAGTTCTTGTTTTCTACTTCTATTTTTTTTTTTTTTTTTGTTCAGCCAACCAGCCGAGGAAAAATAAATAATAAGGTGAGCGCGAAAAAAGGATCCGTAACGACCTCGAGGGATTCCCCGCGGGAGACCCGGGCAACGCGCAATAACAAATGGCCGAGACTTATCCGGTGGACAGGAAGTCGTAGCCGGATCCAATTCCCAGCGCGTCCGTCCGCCAGGAATTGTGTGGTTTTTTAGGCCGTTCCTGAACGAAACAACGCCGGGGCCACAGGACCGGGGATCGTTGTAGGCTGTAAATTAAATCCGCAGAACACATCCTAACCAAGCTAGCCGTCCCCGGTGGGGTTACCAGACCAGATTAAACTATTTAAATGTTCGCTATTTGTACGGTATACCGTCGACCAACGGGTTCTCGCCACACGCGTATGTGGTCACCGATGACAGTGGCTATACATTTTACCAGAGAACTAACAGACAAAAAACATCAAACATGATACACACAGAAAACATGATATACACAGAAAAAAAATATAATTTTAAAAAAGAACACAATAAATTGTACATCCGGAACAACTAAATAAATAGTTGTGCCAACTTGTACAGAGGCTTTAACTAAACATTTAGTTGGCCTGACTATTTATTTAGTTATATTCCAACAATAAATGCATTAAGTCACCATCTTAATCACGATTATAATTTATTGATCTAGTTCACTACCAGTGGACAAGCAAGTGTACATATACTTTACCGACAATCGAACTTCCTCCTTCAAAGATTTCTTGTTAACTATGTCCCCTACTGTAATTGAAAAAAAAACAGAAAAATAGAATAAGCGCTCATTGATGGGTACACCGGCGATGGTGTTTATCATTAAATATTGTATTGTAAACAAAGTTTACGGTAACAATTTTCGGTATGTTGATCTAATGAGTAAATAATGTCAACACGCCAACGTCAAAAGTCTTAAGCATCACACAAAATATCAAAACAACTTACTCGTGTATTAAATATTATCTGTATTCGTTCAATATTTGTCTGTCACTGACTATTTTGAGCCAGAACGGTGTACTCGTGTTTTTAATATAATACACAGCAGAGCAAAGGCAAACGGCTCGCGTGTCATAAAGCGTTTGTTAGTATTTTGTCGCCCGTTTTTGTTTGGGACGACTTCCCTAGTGTCAATTTGCAAGCGTTTATACTACCGATGCCCGCCAAAGCGTGTCTTTGTACACTATCTAACGGAATGCCTTCATATCAACAGCAAGGCACGATATTATTATTAATATTACTGTGACACGCCTGAGATGATTGCGTTTAAAACCCAATTAATTATACACGAAGAGTATAACAACGGCCCAGAATATAACAGGACTTCGCTTATGACGTCATGGCGTATGCTAATAAGTGATATGATGATGAAAAGTGATTCTTATAAGTATACATTTTCCTTAGGAGGCCGTAACCCACATATTTATTAAAGAGTAAAGTATAAACGATTTCTCGTAAAATCTTAATTTAGATTTTAAACTATAAATAAATACAGCAATAAGCATTCTTTATTGGTTGT